CCAGAAGCCAGCTTTCTACCATCACAGGACCAGCCCACGGAATGTACTTTGGATGAATGTGCAATGTACTCGCGTGTAGTATTGTGTGACGCAAAATAACTACGTAATTCACTTAAATCTTCTATAGGAGCTTGCGAATGCTTTGAATCCTTCATAGCTTTGGTTATCATGTAAAATTTAATATTAAAATTTTAGTTGTTTTCCTGTTAGTGTTTTTTGTTTATTTGAAGACTGTTCTTTTCATCGGACAAGCAAAGGAAATCTAACTCATACAGGCAAGTCTTTTGTAATAAATGCCAAAACCTCTAAGTTGTATGAAATTAAGACTATTTGGCAGCAGCACGAGAAGAAAAGTTGTTGGAATTATTTCATTATTTTAAAGAAGTAAGATGAAACAGCGCTCATAGAAATGATGAGAATTTACTGAGATTTCTGGGATAACCGAAGCTATGTCCAGCGATTTTGTTATCCTTAATTTTAACCTTTTAGGGTCGTATTAATCCGGATCTGGGTTTGCTTTGGAAGCTGAGAGTGTTATGTTTGTAAGTAAGTATTCACTTCAGTGTGTCAATAAACGGTGAACGCAACGTACGTGTCTATTATTTACTAGTGGCGAACGCGGAAAAAAAATCAATTTGTGGCTTGTTTGTTTCTTGTTTGAACTAATTAAAATTATATGAACATAATGTCGGTCGGGCAGTTGAAAGAATTCGCGGTAAACAGTGGAAATTGGTCCTCANCAAAATTTAGACTTAAGAACACAATCACGTAAGTCGCTATCATTTCCCATGACAAGTGGCGAGGAACCAGTGGCGGTGGTCAACGATTCGGGGAAGAGTAGTTCACCACCAAAAAATAGCACACCGGCACAGGATGCTGTATCGCCTATTCGTGGCAGCCCTATGAGACCCGCTGTGCCGATAGACAAGGGAGCATGTAGTACTGGTGGTAAGAGTATCAATGAAAATGTGACACCCAAACGTGAACGTCCTGTAAGAATACGCAAGCCACCAGTTAGATATGGATTCGAGGAAATAGATTAAGTTTATAGTTATAACCTCTCTTTGTTTTTTTTTACTTTAGTTTGTTATGTACGCTTAGTTAAGATAGATAGATATATATATTAATTGTGCTTATAATGTGTAGTAAATAAGGGTGGAGGTGTTATGTTTGTAAGTAAGTATTCACTTCAGTGTGTCAATAAACGGTGAACGCAACGTACGTGTCTATTATTTACTAGAGAGTAGACCTATCGTTCTCGCAAAAAGTTTAGAATGCTTTCTAAAAATATCATTGTAAAGTTCATTTCCATAAGTTTTAAGGTGAACATTACAAAAAGTTACAGAAAACCTTAAAAAATAATTTGTATGCCGAACTTTTACCTTGTAATCTTGTACTGTACCTTAGTGTTCGACATTTATTTAATTAACGGGTTGTTACCAGGTTGAATGGATTAAGGCGTAGAGGTAAAGCTGAATACGTTCTGAGATTTAAAAATAAAGACAGTAGAAGAAATCAATTATTTATTCGTCATTCACTTGCCCATGTATTCTCGTCGCCACACCTTTATTTGGCTCATGAAGTAAGCCATTGGAGTTAACCAAACTGTGAGCATAAACGCGCAGTGCAACAAAGCCTCCTGAAAAAAAAGGGAAAAGCACAACGAAAATAGCATTAACAATAAATAATGTATCACATCACACAGCAAGCAGCACTTGGTAAGCCGTGGCTTGGCTCTGCCCCTGGCATTCCTGATGTCTATAACTCATAGACTATGAGCGACGGTAACTACTTACCATCAAGTGGGCCGTATGCACATCCACTTAGAAAGGCAATAAATAAACACAAATAGCTGCACATAAGTGTGCAGAGAGTAATTTTTCTGAATTAGTAAACTGATAAACATCCGACATATTATTTTTTATGGTTACTCATTAATCTTTAGTATCAAGCTCTACTTTCAGTATTAAGCCGCTTGACAAAATGGAAGTTCGTTCGATAAAGATCCCTTTATACGCTCTTTAAATGGTCTGAGACCTCATCAACCAGAATTGATATCTTTTATTGCGTTTGCTACTTGAACAAGCTTCACTGCAATTCTTAATTTTTTATTTCCTACCTATTTTAGTAACGTCAAGGGGTTATATTAGATTTGCCGAACGACTAACTGAGCTCACGAGATTTCTAATCTAGTGACGTTGCTAACACTAGCCCTAGCAAGAGCAGTGCTTCGTAGAATCTATCAGCGAATCGGAAACGCGACCCACTGCGAAGATCCGGCGAGAAACTCAGTGGGATGTGTCTGTGGGTTAAATTCTTATTGTTGACAGCCCTTTGAAATGTCGAACTCAATCTCTTTCCCGATAGTGGATAAAGATCATTCTTAGGCCCGTTTTCCAATTACAGCACAAGAGCGCATTATGCGTCATAATGCTCAACTAAGCTTCAGCATAATTCGGCATTGTGCGTCACTGAGTTGCATTATGCTCTGTAATTAACCATTACTATTCCAACGGCCTTAAGCTGCATTGTTCACATAGAAAAAAGTGTTGGAAATACAAAACATGATGTTATAAGAAACTTACGCCAAGATGGCATTTATTCCTCGGCGGAATGACAATTATCATTCCTGTTTGTGTCCAATTGCGTTTAAGCATTGTTTGTTGTGGTAGCGGTCTTCGTAGTAATTTTGTGAGATTCCGTAACATATTTGAAACGAGTCTCCTAATATGAAACCGTTAAACCAGTTTAAATAGGTACAGGGATAATTATCGACTTCACACTTCAGTTTGATTACATCAGTGTCAGATTAAGTGTATTATCTATGTTAAGGCAATTGTCAATTTCAATTATGGAATTTAATTTTTTTATTTGATGCCATGTTCCATGTAGTTGATTGTTAAACTCTTTTCATTTATTGCGTAGATGGGCGAACCAACTAGCGGCCTTCAAACAGGACGGGTCACTGCTTCTCGTCAAGATAGCCAGCGTATTACGAGAGCCCACAAGACATAATTACAAATAATATTTTTTTCAGGTTTCATTTTTATTATAAAATGTTATTTCCTCATTGTGGAAGTCATTCGTGATCATTTATTACATACGTCTTAGAATTCCTACCTTCCTTCGCGAATAACCGCACATTCTAATAACTGTACGGTAATACCGGGTGTTTCGACTGCTCTGGGGCAGACCGGTGCTTCAAAATAAAAGAGTGGACCATAAGTGTATAATCTATGGAGTGGACTGTATTAATATTTAGTAAATTTATAAAATAGTAAAACAAGTAAGTGTCGCGGGTGGCGTTGCTGCACGAAGTGATGAAGCCGGTGTAAATCCGCTACCCCACGCCGCTGTCCTCGTCCTGATCGTCGATGTCCGTGCATCGACACCGGGTCTCTTAACCTACCACGATGTGTTTTTAGTGCGAGTTTAAATTAACTTCACGACGAACTACCAATACCAATACAATACCACGCGCTCTCGATGTAATTAGATATGGAGGATATAATATGCCATCGATCCTTGGTGAAGAGTGACATACACATTAGAAATAATAATAAATAACTGGGAAAAAATCATGAATGCTCATCAAGCCCCAAATAAGGCTGCCTGTCGACCGGATCGAAGAGAAACAACGGAGTAAGGCGGAGCGGAATTGCGTACTGTGTCTGTCCATCGGAGCGGAGCGAGAAAGTAATGCTGAGAGGAGTTTAGTACCTACACGAGTCTGTTCACACTGCGGGCGTACCTTGCCCTCGCACCCCCATTCCCGATCCTGCGAATAGAATGGAAAGCTGTCGACGTCGCCCAAAACACGTCATTTCGGATCCTCCCGATCCACTAACGGTGCTTTTAGGTACCTCAAGCACCGGTCATCGTTCTCGTCGAACCCGTCGCTTGTGACCAAGGGCTCGCCGAGTAAATTAACCCTCAGACACAGCCCACTGAGTTTCTCGCCGGATCTTCTCAGTGAGTCGCGTTTACGATCCAGTGGTAGATTCTGCGAAGCACGGCTCTTGCTAGGGTTCGTGTTAGCAACGTCGTCAGGTTTGAGCCCCGTGAGCTCATTTACTAGTTAAGGTTACGCTGAAATAGCCTCTCAAGACTACCTATCAGCTGAGGTACGAAAAAGAAAATAAAAAAAAACTGCGCCCGCACTCGCTTTTCCTCTCCGCTGCCTCACTCCGCTATCCCGTTCCGCTTACCGGTTTTGTATTAATTTTTAAACTATTTAGTTCTAAACTCCCTGTACACTAAAGAGGAGCGGAAACTTTGTGCAATCTTATTGGTTAATATTTCTCCGTTTCTCTGCTCCACTGCCTCGATCTGCTCCGGTGGACAGGCAGCCTTAAGATTCCCTGTGTTATACATATTTTTAAACATATAATAAACACCCAAAGAGCAAACAAACCTGTTCATCACACTAATTTTTGCCCGATGTAGGAATCGAACTCACGACACTCGGCCCAACAGTCAGAGGCGCTAACTACACCACCGGGTAAGTCTACCCATTATATTCAATCCAATTAAAGAACTGGCGAATATAAATAGCGAAATTTAGAATTTAAATTTCCATTCAATTTAAAACTATTTAAAAATCAAAACGAACACGTGAGTCAAGTTATCCTGTCTTATAAAAAAACAAAGCAGAAAGTTCATTCTCATGGAAATTGCAGACCAGCACGACTCGGTTACAAAGATAATACAAAGTTTTAACTACAACAACCAAACAAAATGAAGGTATATTCAATGTATTCATAATCAATAAAACATGCATTATTAAGGGCAACTCAAAAACGACTGGTCAGATCTTGATGGAAATTGATGAAATATCATCGGTTTTTAATTAAAATATTTCGAGGAAAGACACAAATAAAAAACCAGTAGAACGGAGAACTACCTCTTTTTTGAACTAGGTTACAGAAGAACGGATTTCATGCAGTAATATGTTGGCGACGCAAAACATAGGACCCGTACGTAGTCTTGACACAGCGAGAGCTTGTATGATGGAGATTAAAATAATCAAAACGTTAAGTTAAGAATCATTTGATGATCCCCAATATAATAATTTATTATAAAATTACAGCTAATATCACAGATTCAAAGGTAACAACAGGTTAATGTCATTTGGTAAAAGCATGTAATAATAACAATGACAATTCCCAAATACCTAATTGCTATAGCACTTTCACAATAAGGTTCATGAATTTTGGTAATCAAAGAAATTGGTGACACACAACAGATTGGTGAATAATTAAGTTTTGGTTAGCCTTAGAATACTCTGCTCTATTCTCGACAAACATTTATAAATACGAAATGGTGTACTGTCGGATATTAATGCGCACTCTTTCAATAAAAAATAGAATGTTTTCGGTGTGTTCTTTATCAAATCAAATTCGAATTTCTCTTTTCTGTTATCGGCTTTAACCATAAAATTATATTTGTAATGTCTGAACCAATATTTGAAGTCTTGTATTCTTTCTAATTTTATCAATGGCTCTTTTAGATTGGCTTCCTTGAATACAATAAGAGGAACTTCATCCTCGGAATCGGTAGAATCATTAGATCTCTCGTCTACTCCTTTGGATTGTTTGATTATTTTTCCTGCTTTATAATCTTCAATATTTTTATCGATGATTTTTGTTAATAGTGCATCCTTTATCGAGTCACAAATATCCTCGGTTTCGATTTTACCAATCTTCATGTACAGCTGGCTGATATCATATTCGTTTTCGTCAAACTTTGGATTCGTTTTAGGTATTAATTCATCAACGTCAACATCGCTGTCGTCATCAAATAATTTTGGTTCATTCTCTTCAACAATTTCCAATTTAGTTTCTTGTAATGTTGTGTTTTCGCCTGTCCTTAAATCTGTGGCACTCGTATTTTGTGAATCAATTTCCTGTTCATTTTTCGTATCGTTTGGAGCCCCTTCATCGGCGCCGACGAAACTGGCTGCTGGTGTTTCTGTTGAAAGGGACACGTGACTCTTGTCATCGAAATTTTGCGTTACGTTTTTAGCATTTTCTAAATTCCAAATGACATTTTTCAATTCATGCGCGACTTGAGTCACGACGTCTCTCTCCATTTGACTATAATACGCTTCTAATAATTTGTTTATTTGTATTTTAGCTTCCCCGCGTTTTTCTGTTCGACGCCTTTTAGACACGCCGGCTTCGTTGTTGGAGAACTCTGATTTTCGCTTTCTTGGTTCAGTGGTTCTGTACTCTTTTGGTATAGGTATTTTATATGTTTTGCACGCTTTGAGGATTAATTCTTTGATGGCCCGTTCTCTGTTGAACGTTTCTGGATTAAATTCGAACGAGTCGTAGCTGTGTACACTTTTGCTATCATCCATGTCTGGGTTACGATCATCGAAATCGTCATTAAAAATATCATTCTCGTCACGTTGTGGATCCATGTTCTCATGATCGGAGTCCTCGGGTTCTGTTTTTATTTCGTATACCAAAAAATCATCATCAAAGATATTCTTATCTTCATCTTCTTCCTCAATAGTTTCAAACTTATCAGTTTCGACCACACTAACACTCTCTGTAGGAACATCTTTGTCACTACTGTTCTCATTCGAGTCATATCCCTGATCGCTTGCTTTCTCGTCATGAATTTCATTCTTCTCGTCAACAATATGTTCTAAAGTAGGCTTGTTCGTTTTAATCCAATTTTTGTTGTCACAATTCCTGACTATTACCATTTCTATATCTTTACTGTATTTTAGTTTTTTATCGTAAGCCATAAGCTCACAGTTACTGATCACTTTATTGGTTCCATCAACACCTTTAATTAAATTTGAAGATGTATCAAAATCTATCAATTGTAGATTCTCGCATGAATATTTTAATGAGTATTTAGAAAACTCTTCACTGAGTAACATAATGTGGTTACTATCAGTGCTGTGATTTGCTATTACTTCTGTGTAGGCAGATAAGGGAGTTAAACTGTATCCAAAATCCACTTTAGGGATAATGCTGATGTCATTGTTTTGCGGTATTTTATCTAATATATTCATAGATAGCTCGTCGATTAAATCTATTTTGTTGTTTTGTTTATCTGGTAAATACTCTAGATAGATGTAATCATCCATATCCAGATAATGTTCATCTCCTGTGTCCAACATGCAATGAACTGACAGTATTTTTCTTCGAAACTGCAAATATTTGATCCAATCTTCAAACGAAAATAATCTATCGGTCTTATTAGATGCAAAACCTAATTTGTAGGACTTGCAATATTGTTTATTTTCATTTATCTTATCAACCGTTTTGGACAATCTATATTCATAATCATCATCTAAACCGAAACATATTTTTAATGCTACAATAATATATGCCATAACAATAGATTCATAATCAGGCATTTTATAACAATTGTTCAAATCATCATTACTTATTTGCAATTTGATACTGTGAAAACTGTACATTAATGAGAGAACTAAGTTTTTAAATTCATTGGGTAAGCAGAGTTCGGTTATAAAATTATTCACAATGTTCCTCATATCTGGCAAGACCGGTGGACCTATCTCTAATTGATTTAATAAGGCCATAGTCATCCACCTACATTTGATTGAGCTTAACAGTCTCCTTGGGCTGCAACTCCTGACAAAGTATGGCCAGTCAGGTATTAATTTGGTATTGATGTCGTCAGGGATGTGCCTACTGAAATCAGTTATATCAAGTCTGCCCTCCTTGATATAGCGAAATAAATGTGACATCTGTAATTCACTCTTGTCTAGGTTTAGTGCTGTATACAGCATAGATACAAGTAAGCCACAAGTTATGGCCCGAATGTCTCGTTGGCGCGATACATACTTTGTGGCTAAGCCGCTATTTCCATTGGATCTATCCTCTGCATCGTTTTCAGAAGAAATTTTTTCAATGCTTTGGCTTTTTCCTGGTAACTTTGATTGCATCTCTTCATTTATATTACATGTTAATCTGAAAACACAATATATTTATAAGAAAATGCTCGAGAAGTGGTAATACGTAAGGTTATCTATGGGCACTTAATATTAGGTGGGCTGTGAGTTCTCGTTCTCGTTCAACAGAATAAATAATAAAAAAGTGCAATTTTGATCTTTAAGGTACAGCTGCTGCTGTCAATGCTGTAGGTAGTTCTGAAGACATTTGTTTTTTAATTCATTGCTTTACGTCAAAGTCATATTAATCAAAATTTACATATAGCAGACAGTTTAGAAGAAATGTCATTATAATAATTAGTCATTCTATCTAATTTCCTGGTAAATCATTATGTTAATCAAGCAAGTCTAAATCTTTCATGTGCAATGCAATAAGACTAAAGTTTTTTTAAATTGTTATGGAAACTCATGTTCCCCCCACTCTGTTGCAAAGTCTAAGCTATAGTTTATAATGTCTGATGCTTGAAATTCAAACGGCTTATGGGCTTAAGATGCCCGTAAGAAAAACAGTATAACAAAGGTACAATATTTACCCGAGGTCATCCTTTATTTGATATTTCCTGATGTAGTTCGACCATACCCATAGTAGTTTCATTTTGAAGCTTGGTTTCGCTCCGAGCTCTATAAGTTCATCAGCTAAGCCACACAGGATAAAGTTATATATATGCCACTTGTACCATTCTCCAGTCACTTGAAAAAAAAAAATATATTTAGGAAACACGAATTTAAAATAATGTAGAGGGTACAGTGCCTATAAATAGCAACGCCTTTGCTCCAAACATTTTTGCACCCGGTCACCGTTGCACCGGTCAATTAACTCTCAGACACAGCCCACTGAGTTTCTCGCCAGATCTTCTCAGTGGTCTCGTTTCCGATCCCGTGGTAGATTCTGCGAATCACGACTCTTGCTAGGGTTCGTGTTAGCAACGTCATCAGGTTTGAGCCCCGTGAGCTCACCTACTAGTTAGGGTTACGCTGGAATAGCCTCTCAAGGCTTACGTAGGAAAAAAAAAACCAAACATTCATTCATTCGGCGGCATTCGTCAGAGAAGGTAGTTGTGGACATGGTTTGCGTGCGTCATTGTTTTATTGTTGTAAATGTGTGCTTAAAGTCAAGGTAATACCAAAGTGTTTACTCTGTATTCTGGTTGTTTGGGGATTTATGTCAATATTTATGTTGAATTAGAGTCAATTAATTAGAGTTTGAGAATAACAAAAGTTGTAATGTTTAAATTGTTATTTTTTTTAAATGGTTTTTCTTCTGAATCCTAAATATATTATTACTATTATTATAAACTACAATGCAAATCTGAAGTTGGTTTATCGATATATGCTAAAATGGTAAAGGCAACTTTTATATGTGCATTTTTGTGAGACTTTCCCACTAAGTATGTGCTTTGTACTGATAATGATACTATTCTCTGAAATTATTCGTTCTGTAATGATGAATGATCAATAGCAAGAATTTTACAAGCAACTTCTTAGCTCCAGTCAAGATTAATCGAGTCCATTTCATCATATTGTAGCTATCTATGGCTCGAAAATAGCGGAAAAGTTGTAATACATACAGCACTGCACTGAATGATTTAAAGGTCTGAATACATACAGCACTGAATGATTTACCAGTGATTTAAAAGTTTTAAAGTTTAAAAGTCACTGGTGGTAGGACCTCTTGGGAGTCCGCACGGGTAGGTACCACCACCCCGCCTATTTCCGCCGTAAAGCAGTAATGCGTTTCGGTACGAAGGGTGGGGTAGCCGTTGTAACTATACTGAGATCTTAAACTTATATCTCGAGGTGGGTGGCGCATTTACGTTGTAGATGTCTATGGGCTCCAGTAACCACTTAACACCAGGTAGGCTGTGAGCTCGTCCATCCCTCTAAGCAATAAAAAAAAAAAGTTTGAGCTAGTGGTAGTGTAACCTATCCTGTGTCATAATAGTTTATTGTTGTCTTATGATTAGGGCTATTTTCTCTTCGTGTTTTGAAGATGGTTGTATATAAGATGAAACCTTTACGGAATTTTAAATATTTTAACAGTCAAGATATATCACACAATGATAGACCTAACCTAAATTCTAGTAATTAGATTAATCTTCGAATCTACATACTTTCAACTTTATCTTCACTAATTTTTAAGATTTTTTTTCGTGTGCTATACGCAGTCGTTCCATCAGCGAATATGCTTTTTTCAACGACTGTTTCTCGTACATTCGTGTCCTGTGTACCACATTCCACACAGTAATAAAAACCATCGATTAAGGCCATGTCTTTATTTCCACACACTTCACACGAATTATGTGAATTCATTTTTGTATTTATTACTCTGCTCCTGCTGAGAATTATATTATAACTGTACGCTCTTCAGCAATAAAATAAATTTAAATTTCTTATTTCACATAAATATGATGTCTCGTATTATTTTTCTCACGAAATGTCATTACCTATGTGTATAATCTATGTAGTTACATTTTTCAACTTGAAAGGCGGAAGCATCGTACCATACAGCCAAACCTTTTTTATTTAAAAAATCTATTCTATGAAAAAATATATGGAAGGAAATAAAGTCAAGTGGATTTATTTGAGACTCAGTACAGTCTATTGGAATGGAATAAATAGAAATAAGATGAAATTGGAAGAAATAAATCTTTTTTTTTTAAGGTATTTTATGACCTGGTAACTTTGACCTTTAAGTCATGTCTTATTTTAATTTATATTCTTATTTTTATTAAAAATGGTAATATAAAGTAAACAAAATCAAATGAAGATGATTAATATGAGACATTAATCAACTGGGATAAAATTAAATGAAATGAGATAATATGGGATGAAATATAATCTCAGTAAAATGTTAATTAACCACCGTTATTAAACATTTAAACCTGAAGAAATTTAATATTAAAACTCCAACAGACACTATTAATAACGCCCAGTGCCAATATTTTTACGCCCGTGTGTTGGTTGGTCGTCGACAATCAGTCTTGGTCTTTACATACATACAAAAACACATTGTAATATAAAATGGATGTACTTCGGTACCTACATTTTATATAAATGCTTAGGTATGCCGTAGTTTGAACTTTACACTGAACTTTAAAATTCATGTTTAAATGTTGTCAGTGCTGTCACTATTTATTTATTTGGAGAGGCAAAGGTATCATTCGCAATGTAGACTCTTAGACTATTAGAGCGAATATTTGAATTTATATTACCATACCATTAAAATAAATCAGTGACAACAAGAAAATTAAGGTAATCTCTTTCTCATTTCATTTTACTATTGACACAGATGAGCTCGCCTAGCATATCTGTTCTTCAAGGATTACCACAGCTTAAGATATCTCAACTTTTTGAGATTTACAACTGAAGTGTTTGGATAGTTTTTAACTTGCTTTATTTCCCGTACTAAATAAGTGTGAATAAAGTTGGGAAATTTAATTTAAAAAATCAAATCTTTTATTCTACATTTTCATCACACATTTTCAAAACGTAGAGCTTTACTTTTACTACCGGCAACACTGATACAAACTCTTGTCAACTCCTCTATGAACAGGGGGGTGCAACTCCCATACAAAGGAAAAGAACATTCAACTAGCGCCATCTTTAGGAACCGGCGAGGTCATTTTTGAAACGTTTTGGCCTTAATGAACTAATAAACTCACTAGATGGCAGATACGAGTTCTGACTCAATAAAAAATGTAGCGTACTTTGAAGCAGTGCTTCCACTTTTAGGGAATTCTCCCTTTTTTAGGGAAANCAATTGTACGTTCATACAATCTTTTAACAGAAAATTGTTTGTAATATAGGGAAATTAAATAGCTTACAGAGAATTACAGCTTTTTATTTTAAAAAACTGTTTTCTCTCTGTATGAAAAGATCTTATCGATTAGAATGCTGAACACAATCAAACATTCCTTAATATCTCATAAGTACTACCGGGAATTTCAGCGATTCTATACGATAAGATTTTTTCATAAAGAGAGTTATTAAAAATATTAAAATTACTAAAAAAGCCACCTGGTGGGGGGTAGGGAGACTAATAATCGACCGTAGCGACACCTGCTGGACCGGGCTTTAACTAAAGCAAAAATAAAAATGAGAGTTGCGCATCTATCTCGAATATATTAAGTGTATAATCTATGTCTATGAAGTTGCGTGAAGTAAGAAGTGGAGTGCTGTTTTTGTGTTGTAGCGTGTATGCTCATGCCGTTCGTAATTCGCGTAATTTGAGCCCATATGTAATTCAACCACTTGCTGAAAGAAACTAGCTATCTAAGTTAACCGCGGTTGCAAGTTTACGATCGTGACTACATATTCCGCGTCTAGACTGACATGGTAACTAGGGTTCCACCACACCCTTGATCGTCGTCAACGTTGCGTGTTTATCGCCCGCGGCCGTGTTTCCGATCACCCAGACGTTATCCTGTGTGCTTAGTAGTGTTTGTGTAAAGTTTGACTTGTGGGTTAGTCGTGCTGTGCGATCCTGGTGTGTACATTGATGGGCAGAGTCGCGCAGGGCTGGCGGGCGGCAGAGAGGCCGCATCGGCGGGTTTTTGCTTCGCGGAGGGTCTTCTATAAAATCAGTCACACTGGAACTGATGGAATTAGAGAATATCGTCGCGAACACTGTTTACTTGAAAGCCAGAGAGGGTGAGTTTGTTTTTTTTAATTGAAGAAATGCAACCGGCTTAATATCGTACGGTCGCTTAACTTAACGTGTCGTTGACCCTGCGGCGATTACAAAACAGAATAATAAAACGATGACTAGACCAAAACGAAACAACTGTGCTTCATAGCCATATTCAATTTCAAATTCATGAAATATAAGATTAAAAAAGTTATTACAATTAATTGTTATTGCAATGTTATTCATACATGTGTTGTTAATTGGCGATTACAGGAGTTAGATAACATGCTAACAGGTTGGACACATGTGTATTAAACTCATTAATACAAAATATTTGCATTATAATTGGATATGTGTAACAATAGGTATTATTGAATTACATTTAATTATATTAAAGGAAAATAATATGAAATAACTAAGTGAAATATATAATTAACTTTAAGGTAAATGTCAAAAAGTATTGTTTGTATGTAAATTTTTAAATAAGCAAAAACAAATTAAAACTTTAAAAAAAAAATGCAGATAACCCTCGAATTATAAATTTTGCTATCACATGTTCCAAATATATCATTAATAGTTTTAAAACTTAAATATTGCACATAACTTAATTGTCTCTAGGGATCAGCTTAGTAAGATATTATAATAAGATATTAAACATAATTGCAACATGGTACTGTAACTCAATATAATGTCGTATATTACATACAAACATAAAATGTAATGTCTAATAATGAGACAATTGTATGACGATTGTCAGTAAGTGATGGCTTAGCTCTGCCCCTGACATTGCTGAAGTCCACAGGCGACGGTAACCACTCACCATAAGGTGGCCCATATACTCGTACGTCTGCAAGAACAATAAAAAAAAAAACAAGCTGTGTCAGCTAATTTTAAAACAGTATTTTTAAAAAGGTAACCTGTCTAGACATTCAACTGTAGTTTTGAGAAAAACAATTATGTCATCTATATAAATAATATAATATATATATTCTAAAATGGACAGAACACCTGCTACGCACTGGTTGTCATATGTGTGAGGAAACAGATCAACCATTGGTCAGCTACCGCTACTGTTCTCTCCTCTCCTCTCCTCTCACTCATAGCATTGAAGCTTCTGCAGATACTGTATCTGTATCTGTAAAAATATCTAGGGTCACTATCTGACTTATATCACTTACATGCTTATGTGCTGTCCAGCAGTGTATGTCTGTGGGCTCATGATGATGATGATAATAATATGATACATGGTCATGAATGTTCCAATGTTAACCTCCTGGAAGTAGCATGGTTTTTCGATTGATTTACTTTTGTCTCCCTTGCATCTTCAATAAGATATGTTCTTACTTAAAATTATATTCATAAACTTGAACACAAATAACTCTGTAACATTGTACTTTGAGCATACCACTGATTTGCAATTAAAATGAAAATGAGTATGCAATTAGAATTATTCATCATTTACATTATCAAATAAGGCTCTTGTATGTCAGTTGACAATATTGTGCTAGGACTATATAGATCAGGGGTGGGCAAACTTTTTCCACAAGGGGCTCAAAAGTGTAGGATATCGAATTGTTATTGTCAATAATATCAATACATTAAAAAAAATACTTAGCATTTCACATAATACAAGATTACTATATAACTTCATAAGACTTCTTAAGAAAATGTATACGAATTTATTAGTAATAGTTTACTTAACTTAGTAATTAATTTTAGTTTGACACACTCAATATAAACCAGGAATCTAAAGCAAAAGAAGCTTCCAGATGTACCGTCACCATCGAATGCATGTGATTGCAGATCGTCCGCTGGTAAAAAATACTATTACATTAAGTAAGGGCAGTACAGAAAACGTTAAAAAAAGTAATTTCACATTTGCGATTTAAAAAAAAATACTAGTTTTCACAGGGCTCGATCTGCAACATTAATCTGTAACACATCAAGATTTATATTGATGTAATGTATTATATTTTAATTACAATTTTTTTTGCCAAGTGGTGCAAAAACCTATTGTTTTTCAATATTTATTTGTTAATAGTACTAATGCCAGCTCGTAGTGACATATTAAATAAAATCAGTTCACTCTTTTTTCGCTACCAATTTTTTGGTAACATGGGGGCTATTCCAGGCGGGAAGCTGATTTCACGGGCTCAGCTTGAGAGAATTTGCTAACACTAGCCCTAGCAAAAGCAGACCGCCGCAGATCAGTTGACTAATAGGAGAATAAAACTATTGAACTACTATGTCTAGAATTCCCTCGCACCCGACAAGTATACCTACTTAGAAACCTTTAAAAACCAATGATATAGTTTGTCTATGCAGTCATAAGGTATGATTTCGAAAATTCCGAAAAAACTATGAAAACAGTTACGGAAATTAGTTTTCATTGGCAGGCTTCTACATCTGTCTAATAAAATTAAATGTCAAAAAGAAAATATTAACACGACCGCGTCTTACTTTAATATATCCACGATCCATCGCTTAACCTACCAGAAAGCGCTCCCTGTTTCGTGTGTATTGATATTGGTCATTGGATCATGCACTATTCAAAAATTGCGAAATACCCTCAAAAATATTATTTAACATTTACAAATGAGCTGTAACTATACTGAGACCTTAGAAGTTATATCTCAAGGTGGTTGACGCATTTACGTTGTAGATGTCTATGGGCTCCAGTAACCACTTAACAGTAGGTGGGCTGTGAGCTCGTCCACCGATCTAAGCAATAAAAAAAAAAATAGGTGGGGTGATGGTACCTACCTGTGCGGACTCACAAAAGGTCCTACCACCAGTAAACATTCGGACCATAACGTAAGAAATTTTAGCGTTAAGCGCTTTATTCACGTTCGATCTTGCTGTACGTCCCGCCAAGGCCATGCACGGTGCACGATGCGAAAGTACCATGAATAGGCTTGACGTACGTCGATAATTATTATTAATTGTTTGCTGGATTTGCACGACCAATTTTGCATCCAGCGAGTGCCCCCACCACCGCGAACGTCGTGCAGATAGTGAATAACGCGGACGTACTTCAAAGCGGTCCCGCGTGATACGTGCTTGATCGTGTATAGACTTGCTGTACAGCAGATTTAACGCTTTCAAGATTTATTGAATGATATAAGTTCCACTTATTCTCTCAACGCTTGATGCGCGCACGATAGTCTGTATGCTGCATCCAGCACCGCGGCCTTGAGCTGACGTACAGCCGTGATAGATCGTGAATAAAGCGCTTTAATCTATCGAAAATCGGAAAAACAACTTCACGACAACCCTAAAAAAAAAAAAAAAGAGCGCGCCTTAACATTTGGCACTAAGCACCGTTAAGCCCGCACGGAAGGTTCATACTCCGCACATCGTACGTCATCAATCTAAGCGAACGGAATGAGGATACAAACGCGCAATCGACGGATACGAATGTCAATCTTCAATTTGGACGGGATAGATTGATGCCCGGGAGCTCGGATCGTTAGAACGCCCGCTGATTTATTGTTGAGTTAGTGGGATGTCTCGTCTCCTCGCCCGATTGGGGGTCGAGCGTTTTGTTTTGTCACCCTTGCGTGGGATGTAGTTTAAAACTAAACATACCATAAAAGGTCAAATGACCCATTCTGAACTTTAACCTTGAAAATGCACGTATCATCTTATTGCTTTTGCACGTTTGACTTCATCACTTTTTCTTATTATTATACCCTCAAAATCTATATATTAATACGTGAAGCAAAAACTTTGTATCCCTTTTTACGAAAATTGCGCGGACGGAGGAGTATCAAATTTTCCGCACTTATAGAGAATATAGAGAAGAAGTGCACAATGCTGATATTTTTTTTAAATAATGCATAAAAGATACATTAAATCAATAAAGAAAACATTACACACACTACATACCATGTATTTGACGCACACACGCATGCATACTATTTATTGTCAAACTTTTGTTCTTGACGTCTGTTGTCAAATTGTCTTTGTTAATATTTTTTATAGTGTAGTCTTGGCGAAATTTGTGATTATAGAAGTATAAAATATGTACAATCATAATGGTGTACAAACCTACAATTCCAATTAATTATAGTCGAATTTCGACTGCTGCGGGACCTCTAGTATTATTTATTATTTAACATTTACAAATGAGCTGTAACTATACTGAGACCTTATAACTTATATCTCAAGGTGGTTGGCGCATTTACGTTGTAGATGTCTATGGGCTCCAGTAACCACTTAACACCAGGTGGGCTGTGAGCTGTTCCACCCATCTAAGCAATAAAAAAAATATCTTACTAATTAATCTACAGTTATTATACTTTTTTTTGTGTTTTGTTTTGTTTTGTTAATTTAGAGTCGTATACCATTATCTATTCGCTGTGGTAGAAATAGGTACCAGTAAGTGTTGGTATGATTAGTTGGTAAGCGTTTTAAGATTGACGACGAATGTTTTACATTTAAACTTTGATCTATTACGATGTGCATACGTCATTCTTCGAATAAATTTCGAGATGGTCTCACAGTACAGGCGGCCGGTTATCGTAGAAGAGACCGATTTGAATACAACAAGGCCATAAATGCACACGTGCCTAAGTACGTGTGCATATTTTTAATTTTTCTTTTGTTAAGTGTCGTTCCCAGAGAGTAGGCAGTTTTTTTTTTATTGTTCGAGCAGGCAGACGAGCTACGGCCCATCTGATGGTAAGTGGTTGCCGTCGCTCATGGACGTCAGCAATGCCAGGGACGGAGCCAAGCCACTGCCCACCGCTTGAAACTTGCCACAAACAGTTTGTTACAAAAATTGGTCAAGCAAGCAGATGAGCTTACGGCCCACCTGATGGTAAGTGGTTGCCGTCGCTCATGGACGTCAGCAATGCCAGGGACGGAGCCAAGCCACTGCCCACCGCTTGAAACTTGCCACAAACAGTTTGTTACAAAAATTGGTCAAGCAAGCAGATGAGCTTACGGCCCACCTGATGGTAAGTGGTTGCCGTCGCTCATGAACGTCAGCAATGCCAGGGACGGAGCCAAGCCGCGGCCT